CTTCATGTCTTGATTTCCTCTTGTTTACTGAAGGGTGTGTTCACTGGGTGCCATTGCATGACAGATAGTATTATGTTCTAGAACATGCGTTTTCAGAGTCTGAGTTTGGTTTTTCCCCTTTGTGAATTAATTTGTAGGCCTCCTCGAAAGATGTTGTTAGACAGCTGTGTCAGGAGAGCTTTTCCAGTTCATCCGTTGGCTCGAAAAATCTCTTGGATGTTACATGTTCCAGCTTGTCTGTGACCCCGGAGGAGGCGGATCAAGTAAGTGTGGTCAGACATGCCTTCTGGCCCCTGATTCCTCTCTCTTACCTTGTTAATCTCATTCTTGATGTCCCAGTCATTGCCATATCCAAGGGCATTTACCCCCTGAAATGTCTGTTAATGTTTCTGCAAACTTAAGGTAGATTGCTTTTTAAAAATATTTTGTTGTTTTTAGGTGCCATCGAGTTGGTTCCAACTCAAGCATAACAGTATGAAAAAGTGTCCAGCCCCATGTCATCCGCACAATTATGACATTTGGGCCCATTATGTCTGCTATGGTGTCAGTCAGTTCATCACATTGGGGTCATCTTCTTTTTTCCTTGACCCTCCACTTTACCAAACATGATGTCCTTCTTCAGGAACTAGACCTTCCTCACATGTCCTAAGTATGAGAGACCAAGTCTCTCCATCATCACTTTGAAAGAGTAACCTGACTGTACTTCTTCCAAAACAGAGTTACTCTTTCTTCTGTTCAAAAGCTATTGGCTTTGAACCCTTCCCTTTGGCATTTATTTTCCTTTTCAGACCAGTTACCTAGGCAGTATTGACAAAAAAACACCTTTTTGTGATTCCTACCCCCCCCCCCCCGCCCCAAATCTGCAGCCTGTTTCTACTGCTAATACATTGTCAGTTGAATAGCTCAGGACAGACTTTAGTGGGCTCTCTGGGCAGCTGCTGCTTGGGGCCTGAGTGAGATTAGGGAGAGCTGTATGCTGGGTCCGACTCAGGCATTGGTCATTGAAAACCTTAGGAATAGCCGTGGAACACTGTCAGCGCCAGAATATTGATTATTGAACATGATGAAGAGCACCACCAGAATATTGTCAGATATAGTGCTGGAAGCTGAGCCACTCAGGTTGGAAGGCACTCAAATGTGACTGAGGAAGAGGAGCCGCCTCAAAATACAGTTGACTGTGATGATGTGAATGGAGTAAAGCTTCAGGGCCTTCATTTGCTGATGGGGCACAACTCAAATTGAAGAGAAATAGCTGTAAACATCCATTAATTAAACAGAACATGAAATGTATGAAGTATGACTCTAGGAAAATTAGAAATTGTGAAATGAAATGCATAAACATCAATATCCTAGGCATTAATGAGCTGAAATGGACTGGTATTGACTATTTTAAATCTGGCAGTCACATGGTTTACTATTCTGGGAGTGACAAATTGAAGAGGAATAGTGTCATATTTATCATCAAAAAGAGCATATTAACATCAGTCATGAAGTACAGCACTGTCTGTGATAGGATAATATCCCTACACCTACAAGGAAGACCAGTTAATACCACTATTATACAAATTTATACACTAACCACTAAAGTCAGTGATGGTGAAATTGATCAAGAGACAAAGTCTGAAGTCTGAAATTGATCAAACATGCAGTGAAAATGTATTGATAATTACTGGTGACTAGAATGCAAAGGATAAGGAAGACCATAGAAGAATTCTTTTGAGTTATGGTGTTGGAGGAGAATATTGAAAGTGCCATGGGCTGCCAAAAGAACCAATAGATCCATTTTAAAAGAAGTGCAGCCAGAGTGCTCTTAGAGCCCAAGATGGCCAAACTTTGTCTCCCATACTTTGGATATATTGTCAGGAGGAACCAGTTGCTGGAGAAGGATCTCATGTTTGGTAGGGTGGAGGGTTAGAGAAAAAGAAGAAGATCCCCAACAAGATAGATCGGCTAAGTGGCAGCATTGATGGACTCAAGTGTGGCAACAGTAGTGAAGTTGGCCCAGGATCAGCCAGTGTTTTGTTCTGTTATGCATAAGGTCGCTATGGGTCGGTACCGACTCAATGGCACCTAACAACAACAACAACAGATTGCAAAGGTTGGCAACAAAGAGGAAGAATCAGTAGTTGGAAAATGTGACCTTGGTGATAGAAACGATGCTGGAGATCACATGATAGAATTTTGCAAGACCAATGACTTCTTCATTGCAAATACCTTTTTTAAACAACATAAAAAATGACTATACACATGGACCTCACCAGGTGGAATAAACAGAAATCAAATTGACTACATCTGTGGAAGGAGACAGTGGAAAAGCCCCATATCATCAGCCAAAACAAGGCCAGGGGCAGACTGTGAAACAGACCAACAATTGCTCATATGCAAATTCAGACCTTGAATATATCCCACCTGAATTTAGAGGTCATCTGAAGAACAGATTTAATACATTAGACACTAAAGACCAAGACCTGGAAAATTGTGGCATGACATCAAGAACATCAAAGCAAAAGATCATTGAGAAGGCAAGAAAGAAGGAAAAGACCAAAATGGATGTCAGTAGAGACTCAGAAACTTGCTCTCCAGCGAAGAGATGCTAAATCAAATGGAAGAAGCGAGGAGGTATGTGTGCTGAACAGAAAATTTCAAAGGTCAGCTCAAGAAGATAAAGTCAAATATTGTAACAAAATGTGCAAAGACCTGGAGTTAGAAAATGAAAAGGGAAGAACATGCTCAGCATTTCTAAAGCTAGGGGAACTGAAGAAAAAAATTCAATCCTCAACTTGTGGTATTGAAGGATTCTATGGGCAAAATACTGAATGATGCAGAAAGCGTCAAAAGAAGATGGAAGGAATACACAGAATCACTGTACCAAAAAGAAATGGTTTATGTTCAACCATTTCAAGAGGTAGCATATGATCAAGAGCCAATGTTCCTGAAGGAAAAAGTCCAGGGTATATTGATGTCATTGGCAAAGAACAAGGCTCCAGGAATTGATGGAATACAAGTTGAAATCTTTCAACAAACTGATGCAACACTGGAGGCACTCATTCATCTATGCCAAGAAATTTCAAAGACAATTACCTGGCCAACTAACTGGAAGAGATTGGTATTTGTGCCCATTCCAAAGTGAATGCAGAAATCATCGGACAATATCATTGATATCCCATGCGAGTTAAGTTTTAATAAAGATAATGCAGAAACAGCTGCAACTATACATTGACAGAGAATTTCCAGAGGTTCAGGCTGGAATCAGAAGGGGACATGGAATGAGAGATACCATTACTGACATCAAATGGATCTTGTCTGAAAGTAGAGAATACCAGAACGATGTTGACCTGTGCTTTGTTGACTGTGTAAAGGCTTTCAATTGAATGGATCATGACAAGCTATGGACAACATTGCAAAGTATGAGTATTCTGGAACACTTAATTGTGCTCATGAGGAACCTGTACATAGACCAAAAGGCAGTTGTTTAAACGGAACAAGGGAACGCCAAATAGTTTAAAAGTAGGAAAGGTGTTTGCCAGGGTTGTATTGTTTCACCATACTTATTCAATCTGTATGCTGAGCTAATAATCCGAGAAGCTGGATTATATGAAGAAACACGTGGCATCAGGATTGGAGGAAGACTTATTAACAACCTGCAATATGCAGATGATACAACCTTGTTTGCTGAAAGCAAAGAGAATTTAAAATACTTACTGATGAAGATCTAAGACCATAGCCTTTAATATGAGTTGCATCTCACCGTAAAGGACAAAAAAAATCCTCACCACTGGACCAATAAACAACATCCGTATAATTGGAGAAAAGTTTGAAGTTGTTGAAGACTTCATTTTGCTCAGATCAACCATCCACATTCATGGAAGCAGCAGTCAAGAAATCAAATGATGTATTGCATTGGGCAAATCTGCTGCACAAGACCTCTTTAAAGTGTTGAAGAACAAAGATGTCAGTTCAAGGACTAAGGTGTGCCTGACCCAAGCCATGGTGTTTTCAGTAACCTCATATGCATGCAAAAGTTGAACAGTGAATAAGGAAGACCATTGAAGAATTGATGCATTTGAGTCATGGTGTTGGATCAAAATATTGAAAGTACCACAGACTACCAAAAGAACAAATAGATTTGTGTTACAGCCAGAGTGCTCCTTGGAAACCAGGATGGCCAGACTTCATCTCTCATACTTCAGACATATTGTCAGGAGGGACCAGTCACTGGAGAAGATATCATGTTTGTTAAGGTGGAGGGTCAGAGAAAAAGAGGAAGACCTCTAGTGAGATGGATTGGCACAGTGGCTTAAACTCAGCAATGATTGTGAGGTTGGCCCAGGACTGATCAGTGTTTCGTTCTGTTGTGCATAGGTTCTGATGACACCTAACAACAAACAATAACTCTGGCTCTTTCCAGAGGACTTTTTGTACCAGAATCCTGCCTCCTCACCCCTTTGACCCACATGAAATTTCCATCTGCCCAGTGCACCCAATCTCAGCTGGTGGCCAAGAGCAAGAATAAGCGAGTCACATTAAGTTATGTAGCGCTGACTGTTTTCTGTTTCCTGGAGAGTGCATTTCTGAAACAAGACTTGGCTCTTCCAAATAAGCCTGTGTTCATTTTTCAAAAATCTTGTTGAATAAAACCGATGTTCTCCCATGTAAACCGTCACTCAATTCACAATAAAAACTTAAAAACAAGATAACAGGAGGCAAAGTTATGCAAACATCTTAGCCAAAACCAAGCACCTTGAGGGAATGAGTTGCTGGGGGTGGGGGTGCGGGCTCAGGATCATAGTCTTGGGCAACATCAAGGTCAGTTGGCTTAACATAATCCACAAAGGCAAGTTCTACATCCCACTTTGGTGAGGATTGAGTGGGGTCTTAAAAGCTCATGAGCAGCCATCTACGGTGCAACTATTATTCTGTCTCTGTGCAGAGGAAAGGAGAAGGATGAAAATCAAAGACACAGGGAACAACTATCCCTGTGTAAACGTTAGTCTCCACAACTCTGAGACCAGAAGAACTAGATGGTTCCCCACTACCACAACCAACTCTGAAAAGGATCGCATAATGTGGGAGAAAACTGTGGAACAAAACTTAGAATCAGGAGAGAGACTGGTGGAACCTGAGACTGTAGCCCTCGATCTCCCTGTCGGCCTGGAATTGCGCTTACTCCCTGACTTCACTAGTAGTCCAACAACAGACCGTCTACAAGAGGAGCAGTAACAGTAGGGAGGAAGGCAGCTCTTAGAACAGTCAACCGTTAGCCATCAAAAGGACAGCCTTGAGTCAGCGACAAAGTTCAGGAGGGTTAGGAAAGAAGGAGGCATGGAAACAGGAAACAGAGAGGACATGGGATGACTGATGTTACACTGAGGGGACTGCAATCAATGAAAGGGAACAAAAAAGTGTATGTAATTATTGAACGTAAACCTGAAGATCTCTGTAATCTTCACCCAATTCACAATAAGAAGTAAATAAACAACAACAACAACAACAAAAAACCCTGGTAGGAGCTTTATCATTGAGATCAGCTGTTGAAAAGGAAGACAGCAGATGCAGGATTCCAAAAGTGAGCTGGAGTCTGAGTTTGGGTGCTCCTTAAAGTAGACCCTGAGGCCGGAACTGGGAAGGGATCCATGCCACTGAAGCGTGGTTACTGCTGTGGACAACTGGGATTCAGGCCCCTTTGGAAGCTCCAATGCCTCAGTGGTTAACGCTCGGCTGCAAGCAGAAATGTTGGTGGTTCGATCCCACCCAGCTGCTTTGCAGAACAAAGACCTAGCAGTCTGTCTCTGTCATGATTTGGGGGCAATAATACTGTGCCTCGTGGGGTTGCTATGCATGGAATCAACTGGATGGCAGCTAACAAGACGACACTATATGGAACTCTCCTCCCACTGGAGGACAAGGAGGCAGGAGCATTTGTTACTGATCTGCACCCCTCATCGGTCAAGGGTTAACTTCCCTGCACTCCTGGGCTGTTCCTCTCTGCAGCCCAGCAAGCTCCCATCTCAGAAGAGTGTTCTTAGGCTCCACTAGGCGTAATGGTCACACTTGGCACCTGGCAGGGCTGGCCAAGCATTCCTTGTCCACAGGAAGCTCCCAAAGCAGGAGCCACCCAGTCAGCCGGGAACTGTTCTTCGTTGCTCCCAGGTTGTAGCTGTGTACGAGGGCATGAAGCGCCTACCACTGTGGCTTCAAACCCACAGCCCACAGGAACCAGTAGCTTTTGTAACAATCCCATCAGTACAGCTTCTGGTTGTCTTAGGAGTCAGGTGCCCAACCCAAAGAAGTGCAGAGCTATGGGGTCCCAGCAGGGGTTTGCACAGTCTGCCCAGTCCAAGTTGACCAAAGTCAACCCTGAGGCAATTGGCCCGAGCTACGTTGCCTAGTAACGTCCACTTTTCTCAGGTTACCAGGGCAACCGTGCTAGAAAGTTAACTGCAAGTCTGACTGTCATTCAGAAGTAAAAGGGATTTGTTGACCTTTTACCCACCAGCAGAGTCACTGCCTTGGGCTTCTGTAGCCCTGGTGGAGTGAGTTGATAATGTTGAATGACTGGCCCCCTAGCAGCAGAGGAGGGATAGAGCTCTGGCCCCTGCCTTGTTGCTCCTCACCGCCAGGGCTGACACATCTGTCCTACAACTGCTCTATCCGACAGCTGCTCCGGGCTCTGCACTGCCTCACAAGGATGGTGGTATTCCGGGACCTGTCTTCCGCCGAGGCAATTCTGGCTCTCTTTCCTGAAAACTTCCACCCAAACCTCAAAAACCTGCTGACAAAAATCATCCTAGAACACATGTAAGTGGACGTTACCTCAGCGTCTGTTCCATTTAACTTGGATGCGTTTCTTATTTATTTGTAGTCCTAATTTAGGAGCCTGGTGATGTAGCTGTTAAGAGATCAACTGCTAACCATAAGGTTGCTAGTTTGACTCGGCTAGCCGCTCCACCACGGGAGAGTCACATGGCAGTCTGCTTCCGTAAAGGCCACAACCTGGAAACCCTATGGGTCATGAACCCTGCCCTATAGAATCGCTCTGAGTTGGAATTGTCTCAGTGGCAACCAGTTTAATTTTGGTTTTTATTTTAGAAGTAATGTTTATGGTTGAGAAGTTCAGAAACAAAGATAAGTGAAGAGAAGAAAATAGGACCCCCCACCCTTCCATCAAAGTCCTGGTGTGGCGCTGTGGGTTACTGCGCCAGACTGCAAAGCCATTTGAACTGCAAGGTTGGCAGTTCAAGCTCACCAGCTGCTCCTCAGAAAACCTATACAGGGTTGCTATGGGTCGGAACCGACTCAACAGCACTTAACAACAACAACACTCTCCCATCAGCCCACTCCCCAAAGGTTAGCAATATTAATTCCTTAATGAAAAGCCTTTAGTTGTTAAGTGCCATTGCGTCGGTTCTGACTCATAGCGATTGTGTATAGGGTTTCTGAGGAGTGACTGGTGGGTTTGAACCATCAACTTTGTTAGCAGTCCAGTTCTTATCCTATAGCACCACACCAGGACTCCCAGAAAACCTTTGTTGTTGTTGTTAAGTACCATGGAGTTGTTTCCGACTCACAGTGACCCTACACAGGTTTTCCAAGGCTGCAAATCTTTTACGGGAACAGAAAGCCTCATCTTTCTCCCGCGGAACAGCTGGTAGTTTCAAACTGCCGACCTTGAGGTTAGCAGCCTGATTCGTAACCACTACGCTACCAGAGCTCCTTCAGAAAATCTTTTGGACATGTTTGTTTCTAACACTGACACAGATTGAAAGAGCTTGGTGTTTTGTTCTTTTGACAAAATAATTTCATCTTGCTTATTTTCAGTTAACACTATTAACACAAATGGCCTTTTAGGTCAATAAATGTTTATCTCCAATATCACTTTTACTGGCTAACTAAATTCCAGTGTATGATGAATGATGTGTAGTTTACTTACGAATGTCCTTGCTGTTGTTAAGTGCTATTGAGTCGGTTCCGACTCCCAGTACCCCTGTATAGGGTTTCCAAGGAGCAGCTGGTGGGCTTGAACTGCTGACCTTGGGCATTTAAGCTATTGACAGCATTTTCCCTCGGTAAACAATTTATGGAGTCCTGGTGTGGTGCTATAAGACAAGCACTGGACTGCTAACTGTAAAGTCTAACTGGCAGCTAACTGGCAGCAGTTCAGATCTACCAGCTACTCTTCGGAAACCCTGTACACGGTCACTATAAGTCGGAACCAACTCGACAGCATTTAACAACAATAGTTGAAATTTTGCTCAGTTGCTTCATTTCCTTTCTGGGTTAAAAGTAATGGACATATTAAAGATTTGGCTTTCTGCTATCGCTGTTCCCTTAGAAAGATTGTACCGATGATGTTCCACCAGCAGATCAGTGTGACTGCTCCACACATCCTTACCAACACTGGGGGGGCTTTTTTATTACACTTTTTCCAGTTTTACAAATGGCAAATGGTAGCTCATTTCAACTTACATACCTCTAATACTACCCGCTGGCTGCCATCGAGTTGATTTTGGCTCAGCTACCCTATTGGACCAATAAAGAACATTCTTATCAACGGAAAAAAGATTGAAGTTGTCAAGGACTTCATTCTTCTTGGATCAACTATCAACACTCTTGGAAGCAGCAGTCAGGAAATCAAACGACATATTGCATTAGGCCAGTCTGCTGCACAAGACCTTTTTTAAAGTGTTGAAGAACAAAGATGTCAGCTTGAGGACCAAGGTGCACCTGACCCAGGCCATGGTATTTTCAATAACCTCATACACATAGGAAAGCTGGACAGTGAATAAGGAAGACCATAGAAGAATTGATGCCTTTGAGTTATGGTGTTGGAGGAGAATATTGAAAGTACCATGGTCTGTCAAAAGAACCAACAGATCTGTGTTGGAAGAAGTGCAGCCAGAGTGCTCCTTGGAGGCCAGAATGGCCAAACTTTGTCTCTCATACTTCAGACATATTGTCAGGAGGGACCAGTCACTAGATAATGATATCATGTTTTGGTAAGGTGGAGGATCAGAGAAAAAGAGGAAGACCCCCAACGAGATGGGATTGGTCAAGTGGCAGCATCAGTGGACTCAAGTGTGGTGACAATAGTGAGGTTGGCCCAGGATTGGCCAGTATTTTGTTCTGCTGTGTATAGGGTCACTATGAGTTGGTACTGACTCAATGGCAGCTAACAACAACAACTCTATTGGCAGAGTGGAACTACCCCACAGGGTTTCTGGACTATATCTTTACGGAAGTAGACTACCTCATCATTCTCTATGTAGAAGCTGGCAGACTCAGACTTGTAGTTAGCAGCCTAATGCTTAACCCATGTGATATTAAATAGGTTTTTCATATGTTTATTAGACATTTTTACGTCTTTGGCAAATTATCGGTATATTTTCTTGGCAGAGGAAGATTCATTTAAACACACATAAAGTAAAACTTAGCAACCACCCTCCAATACTATTAACGGATCATGTCTACTTACAAACTATAGTTGTTTATTAAGAATTTTCTCATGCATGACCACATTTTATTCTGACTCTTGGCCTCACCCCATGTTGCTATTGGTTGTAGCATTAAACAGGCCTGTTTAGATGTGTTTGACATAAAGCTCCAATTCTTTGTAATAGTTACTCAGTGAAAAAAGGGTAAGTTGACCATTTCTCTGTTTTGCCTCTGAAAACAATAGCACAATCTGATCACAATGCTTTTTTCCCCCTGAAGCTATAAAAGTGCAACATCATTGAGCTTGTAAAAGCAAATGAAACTGCTTCTTAAAGGCAGGGTTTCTGTGCTCCTTTTCTTTGGGATTTAGGGATACTTGTCTGAAGATCACAGAAAGAGCAGAGGCCTAGGTTCAAGGGCCTGTCTTGTCATAAAGCTCAATTCCCATCTTTCCCTCATTGTCTCCTCCTCTTTTTTCCCTCCCGAGCAGATCTACGTGGAGAACAGAAGCCCAGGCCAATCAGAGTGAGTACTGAGAGGTGGACTTCTCTCCCCGCTCCCCCCACCCACCTCCCTACCCCACTCCCCGTCTCTCTCACACACACACACACCCTCTCTGCCATCTCCACCTCCAGCTCAGAATCTCTGCCTAATGGCCAGTCTTTAACCAGAATGAACTCTTCTGACCCCAAGCCACACAGTGTGTAGTGTATTGTGACTAGGGGGAAAGCGAACACTCATTGAAATTTGGTTGAAAGATTGAATAAAAGCACATGTTTAGCACATTTACTGTGACCCAGTCACATTGCTGGAATACCTTACCTACAGTAACTCATTTCCTTCTCGCAACAACCCTTTGAGGGAGTTGTTTTATAAATGAGGAGCTTGGGGTTCAGAGGTTAAAGTGGTAGAACCTCAATTGAAACCAAAGTCTGTTTGTCTCTTAAATGAACTCTTACCACTGTTGCCGAAGCTACACGTTTCAGGCAGACTCGGGCTATGACCGCATCTTCCTGCCTGTGTCATTTCTCATTTGGTTCTGAAAGAGACATTTGTCACTAAGTGCAGGTGGCCTGGAGCAATGCCTCTATCTCTGGGGCCTGTGCACTGTCTCTGTCTCAGAGCCTTGCAATGTGGATTACCTGAGTTACACGTACACAGCCCGGTCGGAGAGTAAAAGGTTGGCGAACGCAGCTGGCTGCAGTCCTGATTCCTGAGCTTGGTTGTCCTCCCCACAGTCTCTCTGCCGCGGCTGGTCGACCTGGATTGGAGAGTCGATATCAAAACCGCCTCAGACAGCATCAATCGGATGGCGGTGCCCACCTGCCTGCTCCAGATGAAGGTACTTCAACTGTTCTGCTCATTAGAAAGAAAGAAGGGTGACTTGGTACCCCTGCAGACCACCTAAAAACCCTGATCTCCAGTCCTTTAACCCCTTAAATGAAAAGCAAAATGATACAGCACCCCCTCAGAGACGTGTAGAAGTAGTCCTCTGACTTACGACAGCATGATTCTGTTCCAATCACTCCATCGTAAGTCGGTTCTGATGTAAGTCGAAGACCTCTTTATTTTTCAGTGTTCATTATCATTGCCTTTATTATCATTATCCTAATGAATGCTGTCCTTGAGCATCTGCTAGTGAGTATGATTGTTGTTGTTAAGTGCCTTCTAGTCAATTCTGACTCATAGCGACCCTATATAGGGTTTCCAAGGAGCAGCGGCTGGTAGGTTTGAACCGCTGACCTAG